TTTTATAAAAATAATTTCAAAAATCTACATTATTAGTATTTATTTATAAAAAAAAATCAGTATTGTTAAAATATCCCCCAAACAAGCCTTTAGCGATTTAAAATTTAGATTTTATTAGATATCTTATAATATATTAATAATGAGATTCAAGAATAAATTTCTAGTATATCTGGTATTTTATAAAATAATTTTGAAAACTTACATTAATAATGTTTTAGCAGTAAAAATAAACAATAGTAGTTCATACTTACAAACTTCATATTTAGAAAATTTATCAAAAAAATAATAAAGTGATAGTACATAATAAAACATTGTTAAATAAATAATAAATTATTATTACCATGTATCTTTTTCCCCATTATATAAAAACTGCACAAAATTTTAAAAATAACCTCTCAGCCTAACAAGAAAATATAACATCATGTTTTTTCCTCTAAAATCACCTCAATACATACCTGATTTTAATTATCTGATTAAACTTTATTCAACAAACACTAAAATATAATACAAATGACATTTATAATTTTAAATTTATTTTATTTAATTGAAAACATTTCGTGTTTTTCACGAAATCGATGTCCTTAGTCAAAAATATATTAAGTTACTACTAGAGTCGAGTTGCATGTAGTGGATAGACAACAGAAACTAAAATTGAATTTTAAATGGAAAGCTGGGGGAAAATTATTCAAAATTATAGAATTTGAAAGGTTAAATATTTTTGCTGTTTATGGTGAATATTTTAAGGATTGAACGTTTGTAGGTATTTTTTAAAAAATTATTTAGAGAACATGTTTATGAGTAAAATGTTATGGCTGTGCATTGTATAAGACTTAAACATTTATAACAATATATATATATATATATCCTCAATAAAAGATAAAAATCCTTGATATATATATATATATATATATCTATATATATATATATATATATATATATAAATTCCTAATATTATTGAACATTATAATAAAAATAATCCAGTTCATATTTTTTTTGTATTTATCATATAAAAATATTAATTTAAAAAATAAAATTATAGTTGTAAAAATCTCGTTTTAAATCAATTTTTCTTGCCGACTTTTTCATTTTTCGTTTTTTTTAATTTGTGTTTGCTATTTTTTTGTCGATATTTAAACTTTTAGTCATATTATTTTTTTTATGCTATTTTAGTTTTAATTTTAATTTTTCCTTGTCAATTTTTTTTACATTTTTTTAAATCAATTTTTCTTGTCGATTTTTTATTTTTCGTTTGTTTAATTTTTTACTTTTATCAATTTTGTTTTAATTTAATACTCTTGTCCTTTCTTATTTTTTTGACCGTTTCCTATTTTGCAATTTTTTGTCCATTTCATTTTAATTTAATTTTTCTTCCCAATTTTAGTTATTTTTTGTCTTTTCCCAATTTTTTGCTATTTTTTGTAGAATTTGTTTTAATTTAATTTTTCTTGTTGATTTTCATTATTTTCCGTCTTTTTCTATTTTTGCCGATTTGTTTTTAAATTTATTTTTTTTCACACTTCTATCTTTAAATTGAATTAAACTTATTTCAATTTAAATTTTCTTGACGATTTTAGTTATTTTCGTCTTTCTCCAATTTTTGCCAATTTTGTTCAAATTTTTGACACTTTGTCTTTAATTTAAATTAATTTGCAATTATTCAATAACTTTATATTTGTTATTACTATATATTTTATCATTTAACTTTGCAAATTAATATTATATGAAGAATAATTGAATTAGGAGTCAAAACGTTTAGAAAATTTTTGAAAGTATATATATTTATATTATATTACATACTCCAATATATAAACCAATAAATAATATATATATATATATATATATATACGAGGTCTGTTCAAAAGTTTTCGTAATTTCGTTTTTTTCAAAAAAATATTTATTTATTCGTCTACATTAATGTGTCCCCTTCAAAGTAGTCCCCCCAGATTAATACACTTATGCCAGCGTTTTTTCAATTTTCGAAGCACCCTGATATTCACTTTTTGATATGTCCTTGAGCACTCTCGATTTTCTCATCGAGGACAACCGCCGTCCTTTCATGGGTCTCTTCAACTTTGGGAATAGGAAAAAGTCACACGGAGCCATATCTGGTGATTTTTTTTTGCACTTTGCAACACTTTATTTCATTTTTTACGCAAAATTAATACAAATTCTTTGATTTTTTCATTCTTCCATTGTAAAAATCGCCGAGCTCAGAAAAACACGTCGAACTTAGCGACTACCACAGACAAAGTAAAACAGTGAATATAGCTGAAAATTCCTCATACTTTAGGGCATGTATACCAACCCAATAAAAAAAAACTTTGACAATCAGACCTCCCGACCGCGAAATTTAATTATTAGTAATTCCGGTACTTTTTGAACAGACCATGTATATATATTTATATAATTTTATATATATATATTTATATAAGTATATATATTATTCATTCTTTATTTATTTTTGAGTAAATTTTCCACATAAGCTCCTACTAATTCTAAGCATTATTAAAATAGAACTTGCGAGACCCAATTTTGATCATTTACACTTCAATATATAGGCTGAACTAATATCAATTTAATTTCTGCTTTTATTTCATAATAATTATAATAACTAGGTGTAAGTGGCATTTTGTCTTAATGCAAATTGCGTAAACTCAATCAAAAAATACTATCAACGCGTTTGAGCTAATTATCTACATTCAAATACATTTTTCAAGTATACCGAGTTGCTGTAGAGGGCTAAAATATTAGACAGTATTATAGATAATTTAATACTGTACAAATTTGTCAAATATTTTATATATTTAGGATGAACGGTTTAAAAGTTGCAAGACATGTAATAAATGAATGCATGAAAATAAAACCAGTTTGTATTGTTAGGACTAGCCATATATTTAATGCCTTATTAATTAATCTAATATTAAAAACAATAAATATTTTCTCACAGAGCACCTTTGTGTTAGCACAATTGTATATATAATATAATAATATAATATATTATTATATATATAATGCTTACCTTAAATCTAATAGCTTCTCTTCTGGTTTAAATTTAAATATATTTATAATTAATACTTTTATATATTTTCAAAATTAATTATATATATATATATATATAAATATATATATATATATATATATAATATTTATATCAATTTAACAAATACTGAGAAATTTTTCCTACACCCAAAAGTAAAATGTGCAGTTCTATAATATAATTAAGTAGCTTTTTTATAAGTTAATATAATTAATATAAATTAATACATAAATATATAATTGATATAATACTTTTATTAAAATAGTAATAATGGAATATATATATATATATATATATATTTAATATATATCTGGGCAGTTAATATTTTCTGGGCAAAAGAATTTAATGATTTTTTAGGCTTTTTCCTCAAAAAAAATTGTACAAATATAAATTGTTAAAGGTATTTTTTTTACTTCCGGATAATTTTAAACACATAGTTTCTCCAATTTTTTGAAAAACTTTAAAGAATAAAAAAAATTTAAAGAATTGATAATGGTTATAAATTAAAATTATAAACATTTCCTTCTTATTTTTGTAATTTTCCGGTTTAAAAACAAAATTTAAACAAAAATCAATTTAGTCTTTGTAAAATAAATGTAAATATTTAAAATAATAAAAAAAAATTAAATTTAAATCTACTGGAAATAAAAATAAACTATAAGACAATTTTGGAAATAAATCATTTGTAGACAAGCATAAGTTTTTTTTTATATATTTTGGTATAAATTTTTATCTGCCCAGAAATTATATATATATATATATATATATATATATATATATATAAAAACTATTCCATTATATAATTTTTATAAATTCATCAGTCAAGTATTCGAATATCTGAACTTTTCAATAATACTCTTCTAATTTATTAAGTCAATAAAATTATAGTTGATTCATTTATTATTATTTGTTATTGTCATTAAAAATTAAACAAAATAAATGCTTCCATAAAAAATAAACCAACAAATATAATATTCGCAAAATAAACTATAAACTAAATTTATATATATATATATAAATAATGATTAGATTCTTGGAATGTATAGTATTACAAAAAATGCAACATAAATAAATACTTTTCTATATATTTTTTAAAATAAAAATGCAGTTTAATTGTAGTCAATTCGAGTTAAGTTTGGACGTGAATAAATAAATTGGTGTTTTTGTAATTTAATAATTATATATAATTATCATATATTACTATAAGAATTGTATATGTGTGCTAGTTATATATTCTTATAATTTATATATATATATATATATATATATATATATTCTGCTTTCTTTTCTATCAAAAATACTCATTCATATAATATATCTTTTCTCAAAGTTTAAAAAAATATTCTAACATACCGAATAAATATCCTTCGATCTATAGACAATTCAAATATATTCTTCACAAATTATCGATATCTCCTCTGGCCCATCGTAGGACTTTCCTGGTCGTTATTTCTGTGTGTAAAATGTCCTGCAATTCTTTTAATTGGTCTCGGAGAACTTGCATGCTGATTCAGATCCACCGACTGGAAATTCAGGTCACCACTTTGTAACTCTGGTGGATTCCAATCTGAAAAGATAATAGACATATGAATATATACATATATATATATATATATATATATATATATAAATAAATAAATACATATATAAATATATATATATATATATATAATATAATTATTTATTACCTCTGCCTGATACTGGTTGATGTCTTCCACTATCGGGAACACTCATAGTGGTTGTTGATGTCCCAGAAACAATGGTTAAAGAACTTTGGGATGGACAAAAAGACTTTTGCAGAAAAGTCTTCAAATGTGGTGCGTTCTGAATATCTGGAAGCCACCACGTCCAAGGAACGTACACGTTCTTCGTAACTGCAAAGGATAGCATTAATAAATTATGAATTTAACAATGCAAATATATATATATATATATATATATATATAATTTTCTTTTATCTTACTATTGTTGATATCCAGAAAGTCCTGTTCTCTTAGCTCGACTGGCATTAATAGCAGTCGACCTGATCAATCCTGCCAAACAGGAACCACCAACGACTGCTTCATCGTGTACAGGACCAAAAAATGGAACCTGAAAGATAATTGTAAACTTAATATTAACTTCTCGAAGGAGTTTATGTTTTCATCAAAAAATCCGATTATCTAATTTTATGTTTTCTCGACGTTTCAAGCCATTCTGAATCGAATGAGACCAAATTTGGAGAAAGTATGTGTGTGTGTGCGTGTGTGTGTGTGTATGTGTGTGTGTGTGTGTGTGTGTGTGAACAGATTTTTTGCCGTAAATCGACGTTTTCTCGAAAACGGCTGGGCCGATTTAAAAAATTTAAAAGCCGTTCTATGTATCTCGACGAGAACTATTGTTTGTCAGTTTTGTGCGACGATCGGCCAAGCCGTTTCTTTATAAATCGCAGAAAAATGAAAAATTTTTTGTCTACGTTTTAGCCCGCAGTTCTGAATCGATTTTGAAAATTCAAAAACCGTTCGAAAGATATTGGTTGGGAATCGTGCTGACTAGTTTTTGGTAGAGATCGGCCGGGCCGTTTTCTTGTAATAAAGTTTTTTAAAAAAAAATTCGACGTTTTTATGATTATTTTTTTGACGGTAGATACCATAGTCTTGTAGATCATACTAAAATATACGGCCCTACGACAACTGGTTCAGCTTTAAAAATTCGTCAAAGTTTGCAAAAATTGATATCGTTTTTTTTTGGCATTTGTCAAAATTAGACCTTAAATCGACGTTTTCTCAAAAACGCCTGAACCGATTTCAGAAATTTAAAAGCCATTTGATGTATAACAATGAGGACTATGGTTTGTCAGTTATGTGAGACGATCTGCCAAGCCGTTTCTTTGCAATTTGAAAAAAAGTGTTAAACTTTTCGTCCACATTTAAGCTCATCCTACCGAACCGATTTTAAAAAATCAAAAACTGTTCGAAAGATATTAGTTGGGAATGGTACTGATTAATTTTAGGTGAAAATCTACCGAGCCGTTTTCTTGTAATTAACTGTTGAAAAAAAAAATTAAGCCGATTTTCATGGAACTTTTTTGACGATATACATCATGGTCTTATAGAACTTACTGTAATATTACGGCCTTACGGATAAGTAGTTTAATATTAAAAATTCGTCAAACTTTGCTAAAATTATTATCGTTTTTTTGAAAGTAGGATTGATGAAGTATATTATTTACACATATCGGGAAGTTCATGTAACTTGCCTCAAAGCTAAATACCAAACCAACTAGTTTACAAAATACAATATATAATAAATCGTGGTACTTACATCAGGTTTTTTATTTACTGTAATCCTAAACAAACCACTTGGCAAAGGATATATAACAATTAGAACATCACAAAACTCAGTTGGCAAAATGTCTCTTCGATAATCTCTGTAGTGTTCACTCCATACAATGTGTACTTCGTCGTTTCCTAAATGTCTAGTCTGAAAAATAATAATAATCTTATATAATATAAATTAAGATAAATAAAATATACACAAACTCTTTGACTAAATTTGTGTCTACACAGATAATAATCTCGCAGATTAATTTTCTGTTTGAAGTATACTAAGTTGTTGCAGGATTTTACAATGTTAGACAATATTATAGATTATTCAATTTTAAACCAATTTTCCGAATATTTTATTAATATTAGTCAAACGGTTTAAAAGTTACAACAAATATAACAAGAAAATGCATGAATCGTCAATTAATTACATACTTAGACTCTATTACGAATTTAGACAAGATCGAATTTCTATTTTCTAATGCAATTTAAAGTAAACCGAGTTGCTGTAGGTTTTTACAATGTTAGAAAATGACCAAAAAAATCGACAGGAAATGGCAAAAATTGTAAAAAGTCGAAAATCAAATCGGCAAAAAATAGCAAAAAAATTGAAAAAAGTCGACAAAAAAATTAATTTAAAACAAGATTGCAAAAAAATTGGAAAAGCAAAAAATAAAATAACATTAAGAAAATGCAAAGATAAAAAATAAAAAAAATAGATAAGCAAAATTTGGAAGAAGACGAAAAATTTAAAAAATCGACAAGAAAACTTAAATAAAAACAAAATCGAAAAAACTAAAAAAAAGGCAAAAAATCAGTAAAAAAATTAAAAAAGTCTACACAAATGTTATGTGATACCAAAAACACTTGAATTATAATAAATACTTATATTATAATTTATATTAAATGTTATTTATTAGTTCTAAAATTTTTGTTTTGAAATTCATCTAATTTTTAAATTAATAAAAAAAAGGACAATTTTAACAAACTTTTCGAGCTTTTGTTTAACCCATTTTTAGTACAAAATAAATAATAAAAATATAATATGTTAAAGTACGAATAAATAATAATAACAAATCGAAAATATGAAGTTTTTTGTTAATATCAAAAAATTTAAAATAATTATTAAAAAAATCAATTGATTATTAATGATTTTATTTATTATTCCCTATTTATGTAGTTTAAGTATTGAGATTTTTTGGATTTTGTACTAATTTTTCCTTTTTCAAAATATTTTTATATACATTTATTTATAAATTGCATAACTTGGCAAATAATTTTTTAAATTTGATAAAACACATAAAAACCGTTTCAAATTTTTTCAAGATTCAAACTAGAATAAATGATACATAAAATGTGCACGAGCACCCTGACTAAATTTGTTTCTACATAGATAATAATCTCGCAGATTAAATTTCTGTTTGAAGTATACTGAGTTGCTGTAGGTTTTTACAATGTTAGAAAATGTTATAGATTATTTAATTTTAAACAAATTTGCCAAATATTTCATTAATATTAGACAAACGGTACAAAAGTTAAAGAAAATATAATAAACAAATGCAGGCAACAATTGTCAATAATTAAATAGTTCAATTCAATTGCAGTTTTGGAGTTAATAGAATTTCTATAAAGCTTTTTGTTGTTAGAAAGATTAATAAATATTTTTATTTTATTTTTTTTATTTAGTTTTAAACCAAATTGTCTCACATGCAATTAAAGATAATTAAATAATTCAAGTTGTATCAACAAGATAAAGGTTTCTTTTCATCAATTTAGTAATTCAGATGGTGATCAAACACAAAATATACATATTTGCGCAAAGCAAAATGCTTAAACATATTGAAAATTTCGTTTTATAAATAAGAAATTTGGATTTGGGATAAAAAGACAAAAAATAATATTTTCTTTAGTAGTAATTAATATATTCGTGACATAAAAGGTTCAAGATGATATAATAACGTATATTATTAAACTTATATATTATGAGATAGATATTATCGTTATATAAGAATTGCAGATCAAATTCTATTTTTAATTGCTATTGCAAAGTATACCGAGTTGCAGTATAATGTTACAGTGTTAACAAATATTATAGATTATTTAATTTTAAACAAATTTTCCGAATATTTTTACAATAAATATAAGAAGCAAATGCATGTAACAATCGTCAATAATTAGACAGTTCTCATTTCAATTGCAGGTTTAGAGTAAATCGATTTGCTGTAGAGCCTTTTGTTGTTAGAAAGATTAACAAATTATTTTTTTATTTTATTTATTAATTTAATTTTAAACAAAATTGACTCACAACTAATTAAAGTTAATTTAAGAATTTAACTTGTATAAACATTATAAAGAACAATTGCATATCAAATTATATTTTTAATTGCTATTTTAAAGTATACAAAGTTGTTGTAGGTTTTTACAATGTTAGACAATATTATAAATAATTTAATTTTAAACAAATTCGCCGAATATTTCATTTATATTAGACAAACAATTTAAAATGTGAATTAGTTTGATAGTAAGAGTTAGATTCAATGGCAATTTTATAGTGGATCGATTTGCCAAAGAGCATTTTGTTGTTAAAAAGATTACTAAATCATTTAATTTTAAACAAATTTGTTTAACATCTAATTAATGATAATTAAATAATTTAAATTGTAAAAACCGTATAAAAAATAAATGCTCTTACGGCGCTCGCAAATTAAATTTCTATTTTCTAATGCAATTTTAAAGCATACCGAGTTGTTATAGGATGTTAGACAATATTATAAATAATTTAATTTTAAACAAATTTGCCAACTATTTTATTAATATTAGACAAACGGTTTAAAAGTTACAACAAATGTAACAAGAAAATACATGAATCGTCAATAAATTACATAGATTCTATTACGGATTTACTACTACTTTCTAAAGCAATTTAAAGTATTTCTAATTATATTTAATTTTATTTTTAATTATTATTTATTATTGATTATTGTTTTTATTATTAATACTATTATTTTAATTATTATTTATTTATTTATTTATCCTATTTCTTTTCTTCAATTCCTTTTATTCTATTTTTTTTTCTTCTTGATTTTGATTTTCAATACCATAACTTTTAACTTATAGATTGTATTGTAATGTGATTGTTAAAATTAGCAGAAAAAAATTAAATTAAAGTATACCGAGTTGCTGTAGAATGTTACAATGTTAGACAATATTAAAAATAATTTAATTTTAAACAAATTAGGCAAATATTTCATCAACATTAGACAAACCGTTTAAAAGTTACAACGAGTATAACAAACAAATGCATGCACCAATTACCTTATTAACTGTAAATTAGTAAATTGGGCATAAATAAAATATTTTAGCTTGCTCAATTGCCTTATTAACTGTAAATTAGTAAATTGGGCATAAATAAAATGTTTTACCTTGCTCAACATATCTTCAGGTGTATCACAAGGCATCCTAGTAGACACATGAAAAATAACTTCCAAAAACGAGGTCGCAAAATAAGGAGCAGTTTGTCCTGTGGAACCTTGTCTTTGCAAACCTCCTAAAAATCCTGTATGAGATTCCAACTCCACCTAAATAAAACACACACACACACACCAGTCACACCACGAATTTATTATTAAATATTACAATTAAATTTATTAAAAATTAGTCTATTACAAATTACCTCCCATCCAAGTGCAGAAACAAACATCTCGTAAGGTTGACTTCCACAACTGTTCCTCAAAATTGTATTTTTATCATCCTGGCCGCTACTGACGTAAATCACAGCTACTTTGTGGGTTTCTCGACACCTAAAAAATAAGAAAAAAATAATGATACAATCCTAAAATTATATATTATATTTTTCTACCTTTGGGTGTCCAAATTCCTCAATTCCCTTAAAAGTCTATCAGTTCTTGCCAATAATTGTAGTTGTCTTCGACAAGTCCAACCTGCCAATCCGAGTTGACTGTATAGAAGTCTACAGTGCTGGAATGGGGTGTGATTTTCTGGGGCTCTTGGGGGACACTCGGATAAAGGACTTAGACTGAAAAATAAAATAGAAGGAACAAAATTTTACTAATGTAAAATTGTAAGGCGTCAAGAGCATTTTTCCAAATTCAAGTGCGATTTTAAAGTATACAGAGTGAGGGTGTGAGAAGATATTTTAGATTATTTAATTTTGTACAAATTTGCAGAATATTTTATGTATTTTAGACGAACCGTTTGAAAGTAACAACAGATTTATTAAATGAGTGCACAAATAGTGATGGGCTAATACAAAACTAGTGGTGTATGGCATCATGCCTTAAGGCAAATTGCTGGAACTTCCCGTACCGTAACGAAATGTTCGAGGAAAATTAAATGTTTTCGAATAGATTATTATAAATACTGTCTAATATTTTGAATTGCAAAATTAAAATTATTTCTTTAAAGTCAAATCCGAGATGGCTATTTTTAATTATGCTAATCCGGGACGTGTTAATCGTTTATATAACAAATGCTATTCAAGGATAAAAAAACTACTTTTTTAAATAAATATTTTTTTATCTTAATTGCGGACTTTTAGTAAGAGCTTTATCCTTCGACTTACTTCGAATACTTCTTTATCTATGATATTATAATATATCTTATATTTTTTTTATCTATGTTCTATTCAGTTTTCTTCATAATATTGATTATTTCATAATATTTAATATTTCAAATTGTTGAAAAAAATTATGCATCTGTTACTTTGTTTCCTTAAGTTTTGTTAATTTAACTATTAATTTTCGAAAAACCGGGACATCCGGGACAGAAAATCAAAATCCGGGACAAAAAATCAAAACCCGGAACAAATATTGCTTTAGGAAAAACCCTCATATAAGTGAGCTTTAGAACTTTAGCCAGAATTAAAATTAAAATCTTAATTATTTTTGATATACAAAAAAAAATTTTTTTTGAAAAAAAATTAAATCATGAATTTATTTTCCAAAAGCAATCGTTTCGTCAACACAATCAGAAAGTTTTAAATCATTCGAATCGGAGGCTTTAAAAATTCGAATCGGTTCTCTCAAAAACTGTCATTTTTTGCACATTTAGCTCGGTATCTCCAAACGGCCAGACCTGCCTTTGCCAAAAACTAATCACCACTTCTTCCAATCATTACAAATTGAATGTTTTTTTGAATCATTCAAATCGGATACTCCGTTCTGTCAAAAACTCCATTTTCGAAAAAAATCGTTAAACTTGAAAATCGTATAACTTTGCGAACGAAGTGTTTGTAGGTTTTTTGTGTCTAGTTTAAAATCTGCAAAAACTTTTATATTATTTATATAGAGAAAAACTTTATAAAATTCTCTAAACATTTGCATTTACCAAATTTTATGATTTGGAACAAAAACATTGCTAAAAAAAATCGTCAAACTTTAAAACCGTTTAACTTTGTATACATAATTTGTGATTTTGGATATTTGTTTAAAATGTGCAAAAACTTGTTAAAACACATAAGTTTTATTTTATATAGAGAAAAAGCTTATGATATTTCCTACAAAACTGTATATACCAAATTTTATGTTTCGGTACAAAAACATTACGAAAAAGAATCGTTAAACTTGAAAATCGTATAACTTTGTCAATAACTCCATTTTTGCTCCGTATCTCCGTAACGGATGGACCTGCCTTTGCCAAAAACTAATCAGGACATCTCCCTAACAATAGAAATCGATTGCTTTTTGAATTTTTCAAATCGGTTCATTCATACGCCCAAAATTTACGAAAAATTGTCTCCACACACGCACACATTTTTTTAAAACGCGAAAATATGCAAAATTTTCATTTTCGATTCTTGGTCGATTAGTATAACTTGTCCCCTACGGGAAGTTAAAAATATTTTTACAATATATTTATTACCTGGTTAGATGTTGTTCCCTGGCAAGATATTCTTGCTCAGAAGCTCGTTGTCCCAAAATCGAAGAAATTATTTGTGCTTCCAAGTTATTATCAATCGGTGGACAAGCCGCACTGTTCAAAGGCGAATTTTCTGAAGTCAAACACTCAGGACTGGTATGTCCTATATATTGCAAAAGCTGCAGAAAAAAACAATAATAAATAAAGATTTATTTTATAAAAAATATAATATTATCTGATCTACTTACATCGTCCAGTTGGTCCAAATCACAAGCAGAATTTTCCGATAATGGTAACTGATCAGCTGGCCTATGTCTTAAAGCATCCCTCGGCAAACCCAAAGATAAAATCTGATTTCCAGTCATCGACAAAGACATGGGTTGTTGATTTTCAGAATTTCCCAATCCTAAAGTTTTTGCATAATGGATTTCCATGGGTTCACAAGGTATCGGTCGAGGAATGTTTTCCAATTCGCAGTATAAAATTGTGGTGTCCCAACTTGATTTACCGGAAAGATCACGTAACAACATACGTACCTTGATAGAAATAATAATTTAGATTATATAAATAATTAAATTAACGTATTTTGGGGTATATTTTACCTGCATGCTTGCTGTTAATAAACCAGCAGTTGCACCACCACCTGGTAACTTTAGGGCTGGTAACTCGATCATCGAACAAATCAATCCTGGTTTGAGTAAAAATAGTTGCAAGTTTGGAGCCGTCATTACCTGCAAATAAAATATAAGATTGTTAATTATGTAAAATATTTTTTGTGTATTTTAGCAAGTTTTTGTACATTTTAAACAAATGACCGAAAACTTACAAACATTTCGCTCGCACAGTTATACGTTTTCAAGTTTAACGATTTTTTTCTTAGAGTTTTTGTTCAAAATTTTGTTGATAAATGTAGTTGTTTAAAGAATTTATAAGCTGTTTATCTATATAAAATTAACTACATATATGTATTCTAACAAGTTTTTGCACATTTTGAACAAATGTCCCAAAACGTACAAAACATTTCGTTCGCAATGTTATACGATTTGCAAATTTAACGATTTTTTTCGTAATCTTTTGTTCTAATACATGTAATTTGGTAAATCAATTGTTTAGAGAATTTCATAAGCTTTTTACCTATATAAAATAATATTTATGTGATTTAACGAGTTTTTGTACATTTTAAACAAATATCCAAAAATGTACACAAATTAAGATTGCAAGGTTATACGATTTTCAAGTTTAACCATTTTTTCGTAATGTTTTTGTTCCAAAAGTTGGAAATTGCTAAATGTAGTTGTATAGAGAATTTTATAAGCGATTTATGTGTATAAAATTAACTATATATATATATCTTAACAAGTTTTTGCACATTTTAAACAAATATCCGGAGAGGCACACAAATTATGTTTGCAAAGTTATACGATTTTCGGACGATTTTTTTCGCAATGTTTTTGTACCAAAAGTTGAAAATTGCTGAATGCAGTTGTATAGAGAATTTTATAAGGTTTTTATCTATATAAAATAATATTTATGTCATTTAACAAGTTTTTGAATATTTTACACAAATGACCGAAAATCGTATAGCATTTTCTTCGCAAAGTTATACAAATTTTAAAGTTTGAAGATTTTTTAACTTCCCGTAGGGTAAGTTATTGTAATGGGCCGAAAATCGGAATTGAAAATGTTTACATTTCTCGACGTTTTGAAGGTTTCTGAACGCTTTGGCATACCTCAGAAAAAATGGATGTGTGTGTGTGTGTGTGTGTGTATGTATGTATGGATACAAATTTTCGCCCACGTTTTCGGGCGTACAGATCAACCGATTTGAATGGTTCAAAAAGCATTCGATTCCTATTGATGGGGAAAAGAGCTGATTAGTTTTTGGCAAAGGCAGGTCCAGCCGTTTCGGAGATACGGAGCAAAGAGTGCAGAAAATAGAATTCGAGTTTTTGAGAGAACGGAGCATCCGATTTGAATGATCTAAAAAACATTCAATTAGTAATGATTGGGAGAAGGGGTTATTAGTTTTTCGCAAAGGTAGGCCCAGCCATTTCGGAGATAAAAAGCTAAATGTACAAAAAATGGCAGTTTTTGAGAGAACTAAGCGTCAGATTCAATTGATTCAAAGAACTTTCTGCTTGTCTTAACAAAATAATTGATTTTGGAAAAAAAATTTTTGTTTCATTTTTTTTTTTTTTTTTGTATATCGAAAATAATAATTCAGATTTTATTTTTAATTCTGACTATAGTTCTAATATACTTTAAACAAATAATTTCAACTCTGCAATTCAGTTTATATAATTCTTATAAATATTAGACAATGTTACAATATTTATAATAATCTATTTGAAAACATTCAATATTCCTCGAACATTTCGTTACGATACGGGAAGTTCCAGCAATTTGCCTTAAGGCACGATGCCACCCACCTCACTAGTTTCGTAATTATTTTGTTCCAAACGTTGAAAATTGATAAATGCAGTTTTGTACAGTTATGTAAATAAATCTATGGGCTTTTTATTTATATCAAATAAAATTTATGTATTTGAACACGTTTTTACAAGAAACATATGAATAGTGGAAAAATGTAACGGATAAAACAACCAGTTTATATAAAACATATTTCCATTTCAAATTTTATGATTTTTCTGTTCTAAAAGTTAAAAAATAATTAATACACGTAAAATTAATTATTATGGTTATTAATATTCTTAACATATTTATGATTTAAAAAAAATTAACACAAATAAGTTAAATAGAAAAGTGTGTAAGGAAAATTTTGGTTTTAAAGCAACTCGATTTGCAAAGTTTAAACGTATTTTTATTTATTTATTCATTAAAATTTAAATAAACTAGTTGGTTTGGTATTTAGCCTTGAGGCAAGTTACATGAACTTCCCGATATATTTAAATAATCGACTTAATCAATAAAAAATAAATTAATTTATGAGTCATTAAAAGTATTCCGAGTGGATTTGTTACACATAATTGAAAACGAACGAACTCGGAGTATTTTCTAAAAGCAAATTTTCAAAAATCAATAATTTTTATAATTGAACCAGTTTTCAGGACTTTAATGATTTATTATGTTCAAGACCAAGTACTCTATCATTATACCAAGTAAATAGTCTAATTTTAATTTTACCAAATGTCAAAAGAGCTACTCATTTTCTCAAACTTTGATGAATTTTTAAAATCAAACTATTTGTCTTAAGGCCGTAATATTTCAGTAAGTTCTATAAGACCATGGTATATATCGCTAAAAAAAAATCCATAAAAATCGGCTTAAATTTTTTTTTCAACGGTTAATTACAAGAAAACGGCTCGGTAGATTTTCACCTAAAACTGATCAGTATCATTCCCAACTAATATCTTTCAAACAGTTTTTGATTTTTTAAAATCGGTTCGGTAGGATGAGCTTAAATGTGGACGAAAAGTTTAACACTTTTTTCAAATTACAAAGAAACGGCTTGGCTGATCGTCGCACAAAACTGACAAACGATAGTCTTCGCCGAAATACATCAAATGGCTTTTAAATTTCTGAAATCGGTTCAGGCGCTTTTGAGAAAACGTCGATCAAAAGTCTAATTTTGACAAATGTCAAAAAAACTATACCAATTTTTGCAAACTTTGACGAATTTTTAAAGCTAAACGAGTTGTCGTAGGGCCGTAATATTTTAGTATGACCTAGAAAACTATGGTATCTACCGTCAAAAAAAAATCATAAAAATCATCGAAATTTTTTTTTTAAAAACGTTATTATAAGAAAACGGCCCGGCCAATCTTTACCAAAAACTAATCAGCACGATTCCCAACCAATATCTATCGAATGGTTTTTGAATTTTCAGAATCGATTCAGAATTGCGGGCTATAACGTGGGCGAAAAAATTTTCACTTTTCTGCAATTTACAAAGAAACGGCTCGGCCGATCGCCGCACAAAACTCAGAGACGATAGTCCTCATCGAGATACATCAAATGGCTTTTAAATTTTTGAAATCGCTCCAGCCGTTTTGGAGAAAATGTCGATTTACGGCAAAAAATCTGTTCACACACACACACACACACACACACACACATACTTTTTCCAAATTCGGTCTCATTCGATTCAGAATGGCTTGAAACGTCGAGAAAACATAAAATTAGCCATTCGGATTTTTTGATGAAAACATAAACTTCTCCTTCGGGAAGTTAATAAATAAATAAAACATACTAGTGTTATCCACTAAGTCATTGTGTTTTGTTGAGATCAATGACTACTTTATGAGATATTTTTATTCTAAATGTTAAATGTTGTAACTAATATAGCAAACACGTTATATCTAATATAAACTGTTGTAAATGCTACCTAATAACTAAATCTCATTTTTTATTAATTCTGTCGATTATTTAAGGCAAAATATTGCTTATATGTAATTTATAATTAAACTATGAATGATTTTTACTTACTTGATTATTTGCATCATTATCACTTCTTAAAGAATCATCAAATTCATCAACTAATGAACTAAGTCTAGCTGCACCCACACTCATCGGGAAATGTCCGATGTTATTTACTAAATGCATCAAAACCTAAAAGAATAAATTAAACAAAAATTAGTTACAAATTTTCGTACAAATAGGTTAAATTATATTTGGATGTGTTTCTATTTGCTCTTACCGTTTTAGCACAAAGTTTAATAGAATTCACAGCATTTGAATTCCTGTTGGATGAAGGCGATAAAGTCAAAGGTATTATATCAGTCATGTCGTCGACTGAAATTGTAAAATTAAAATCGCTTTCATCGCTGTCCAAATGTTTTTGTACATAACTTGGAGCCTTTCCCATCGTCAAAGCGTAAAGGACTCTAAAAACCTAAAACAAACAAAACATAGTAAACTAGTGGTGTATGGCATCGTGCCTTAAGGCAAATTGCTGGAACTTCCCGTACCGTAATGAAATATTCGAGAAATTTTAAACGTTTTCAAATATATTATTACAACAAATACTGTAACTTTCATTATTTTTGATATCTTTTGTTATATCTGAGCAAATCAAATGTAAATCATAAATCAATTTATGTCCACAACATTAGCAATCGTCATTTCATTTAGAATTCAATTTCAAAAAAAATAGTTGCCTAATTTACACAAAATTAAAAAAGTGCTCCCGTATAGTCATAGTCTAAACGCATTTGCAAACAATTCTGTGCGACATTTTCACTTATACTGTGCTTAGCTTGGCGGCATTTTCACATTTTTAACTTCCCGTAGGGTAAGTTATTGTAATGGACCGAAAATCGGAATTGAAAATTTTTACATTTCTCGACGTTTTGAAGGTTTCTGAACGTTTTGGCATACCTCAGAAAAAATGGATATGTGTGTGTGTGTATGTGTGTGTGTGTGTATGTATGTATGGATACAAATTTTCGCCCACGTTTTCGGGCGTACAGATCAACCGATTTGAATGGTTCAAAAAGCATTCGATTCCTATTGATGGGGAAAAGAGCTGATTAGTTTTTGGCAAAGGCAGGTCCAGCCGTTTCGGAGATACGGAGCAAAGAGTGCAGAAAATAAATATCGAATTTTTGAGAGAGCGGAGTATCCGATTTGAATGATCTAAAAAACATTCAATTAGTAATGATTGGGAGAAGTGTTTATTAGTTTTTGGCAAAGGCAGGTCAAGCCATTTTGAAGATACGGAGCTAAATAAGTAAAAAATGGCAATTTTTGAGAGAACTAAGCGTCCGATTTAAATGATTCAAAAAACGTTCTGCTTGCCTTAACAAAATAATTGATTTTAGAAAAAAAAAATTTGTTCCAAATTTTTTTTTTTTTTTTAGTTTTTTGTATATCGAAAATATTTCAGATTTTATTTGTAATTCTGACTATAGTTCTAATATACTTTACAAATAATTTCAACTCTGCAATTCAGTTTATATAATTCTTATAAATATTACACAATGTTACAATATTTATAATAATCTATTTGAAAACATTCAGTATTCCTCGAACATTTCGTTACGGTACGGGAAGTTCCAGCAATTTGCCTTAAGGCACGATGCCATAATTGCCTCAAGACAGAATTCCACTTACAGCTAGTTCAATTTTTCTTTCACGAAATTGGAAAAGTGCTCCAGTACATAAACATTCTAAACGCACTTGGGTAAACATTTGTACCAGAGTGGCGCTTAGACTGTGCTTAGCCTGGGTAATTTTTTGAATTTTTAATCCAAATTTACAAAAATATTAATATTTCCAAAAGCAATTATTTTGTTGAAACAAGCAGAAAGTTCTTTGAATCATTGAAATCGGACGCTTAGTTCTCTCAAAAACTGCCATTTTTTAACATTTAGCTCTGTATCTCCAAAACCGCTGGGCCTACTTTTGTCAAAAACTAATAACCACTTTTCCCCGTCATTACGAACTGAATCATGCAAATCGGATGATCCGTTCTCTCAAAAACTCGATTTCTATTTTCTGCACTCTTTGCTCCATATCTCCGTATCGGCTGGACCTGCCTTTGCCAAAAACTAATCAGCACATCTCCCTATCAATAGGAATCGAATGTTTTTCAAACCATTCAAATCGGTTAATCCGTGCGCCCGTAAACGTGGACGAAAAAATGCGGACACACAAAACACAAACACACGTCCATTTAGTTTCTGAGGTATGCCTGTAAAATGTTCAGAAACCTTGAAAACGTCGAGAAATGCAAAAATTTTCATTTTCGATTTTCGGCCCATTACTGTAACTACCCTACGGGAAGTTAAAAAATTTGAAAATTCACTTACCAGTAACAATAATGAGTCCTTTTCCCCAGGAAAAACTTTGAGAAGATACTCCTGCGTCATCCCCATACAAAATTCACCCAAGCACATGATCATGGAATTAATTAAATTTTTGTCTTGTTCTGTAGTTTTTTTGTTCAGGGCCGGACTTAAGTAAGTCAAAGCAGATGCTATTGATCTTGTTATCACAGCTGGCAAATCATAAAAATGCCTTACAATTATTTTGTGATTTAAAGTCAGAGCTAAGGCTTCGGCTGCATGATGGGCAGCTACACGATGACGAAACTAGAAAAAATTATAAAAGATAATTAAATAAATCAAGTCATAGGTTTATGTAAGGAAGAAAATTATAGTTATTTTTGTACCTTTAGGGCGTGCAGAAGTACTAAAACAGCCTCACGGATTCTGGGACTTGGCTTGGATAAATTTAATTGTTGGTAGACAAATTGGCCCAAGGAACTTAGGGCCACACAACGTGCTCGGGCTGTTGGTTCACGACGAGCACAACGTAGAATCACATTTAGGACATGTTCCTAAAAAAATTAAAATACAATCATATAAGAAAATTATGTTATATAGGGTATGCCATCTAACATTTTTAATTTTCATTTTTTTTCAACGGTCAGCCGAGGCTTTTTTTTCAATTTTGAATGAAATTATTATAATCATTATTAACCAAATTAATTTCATTATTAACTGAAAGGATTGTACTATAAATAAAAAAAAAAAAATTAGAAAATATTCAGTAGTTTGTAAAAAAAAAATTATTTGGCGGACCCTATATTATAACAAGATATTAATACATAAATTTCATTTTATATAGATAAAAGGCTTATAAAATTCTCTACACAACTGAGTTTACCAATTTTTAACTTTTGGAATAAAAACTTTGCGAAAAAAATAGTTGAGTTGTAAAATCGTGTGTATTTGCAAACTAAATGTGTGTACCTTTTTTAAATATTATATTTGATATTTGTTTAAAATGTGCAAAAACTTGTTAAAATACATAAATTTTATTTTATATAGATAAATAGCTTATAAAATTCTCTAAACAACTGCGTTCACCAATTTTTAACTTTTGGAACAAAAACTTTGCGAAAAAAAAATAGTTGAATTGTAAAGTCGTGTGAGTTTGCGAACGAAATGTGTGTACCTGTTTTGATATTTGTTTAAAATGTGCAAAAACTTGTTAAATTCCACAAATTTTATTTTATATAGATAAAAAGCTTATAAAATTCTCTACATAACTGCATTTATCAAGTTTCAAGTTTTGGAACAAAAACATTGCAAAAAAATCGTCAAACTTTAAAATTGTATAACTTTGCGAAATACGTTGCAAAATAATGCTTGAATGAATATTGCTTGTACGTTTTTTGGTTATTTGTTCAAATTGCGCCAAAACTTGTTGAAACACATGCATTTTATTTTATATAGATAAAAATCTTATAAAATTCTCTACACAACTGCTTTTATCAATTTACAACTTTTGAAACAAAAACTTTGCGAGAACATCGTTAAACTTTGAAAATGAAAACAATAAAAATGTCGGCGAAAGATAAAAAATTAGCTCACATACTTTTTCCAGGTCTCAAATTGTTATAAAATTAGTTTGTCGGATTTTCTGGCAAAAACATAAACTACACTTGTGTTATAAATATAACAAAATATTAAGTACGAACGTTTTTTATCAAAATTTTAGTCTTTATTGTAAGAAACTCGTGTTGTAAAAACGGCTTAAGCAAAGTTGTGTAATTAATAAATAAATAGGCATTATAGATATTTTGAATCTGGTGTAATATATATCAAAGTTATATAGTGTTATAGAAAATTTTAATAGATTTTCAATTATATTTTTAGATTTACTTGTTATTTATTAGTCAATTATTTTATAAAATAATTATGAAAAACTACAAGCATTTCTGCAATTTCTAATTTTTCGTTATATTTTGAAAACATTTATAATTCAGTATAATATTCAACAATTAGGCAGAACAGTTCAGAATTTAAGTAGTTATTTAGGTGTTTATTCAGTTATTCTTATGTGGAACAAAAATTTTAAAACATAATTGAAAAACTAAAAAATGTCCGGAAGCTAAATCAAAAATATACATTTTCTATATATTAGAAGCACAACTTTGCCTCCGCCGTTATTATAAAGAACTCGTATTGCAAAAACGGCGCAAACAAAGTTGTACACTTAAGGTATTATATATAATTTCTTTAATTACCTGTAAATCTGGGCACTCCATCAAAGTAACATTTGGAGATGCAGGTTGCAAAACTGGTTTAGGCAAAGATGAATTTGGCAAACACAACAAGGAACCCAATAAAGAAGCTGCTTCGTATCTTGGAATCTAAACAGACAAAAAATATATTGATTAAATCCAATATAATCATTTGTATTAAACAAACCAATTATATACCTGAGAAGCAAAATCAGATGAAGTCAAAATCACAGTAGCTGCATGCACCAAATCCAATAACAACAAAGTATGTCCAGGAAGTAACAGACTCAAAAATCTTGGACCGCCTAAATATTTAATCACAGTATTTCCAATTGATTTGTCTTCACCGCATAAACCTGGATAAAAGAAATAATATATATTATTCAATATTATTATTAATCTTTACAAAACTGCATTTCTCAATTTTCAACTTTTGGAACAGAAATATGACGAAAAAAATCGTCAAACTTCAAAAATGTATAACAATGCGAGCAAAATGTCTGTACTTTTTTGGCTTTTGTTTGTAAAAAAATGCAAAAATTTGTTCAAACACTTGAAATGTGTTATATACAGTTAAAAAGTGCATAAAATTCTCTACACAACTACATTTACAAAGATAAAACTTTTGGAACAAAAACATGACGAAAAAAATCGTCAAACTTTAAAATAGTATAACATTGCGAGCCAAATGTTTGTACTTTTTTTGGTTTTTGTTTGAAATGTGCAAAAACTTGTTAAATCACCTAAATTTTATTATATACGGGCATAAAGCTTATAAAATTGTCTAAACAGCTGCATTTACCAATTTTCAACTTTGAGAACAAAAACATGACGAAAAAAGTCGTCAAACTTTGAAATAATATAATTCTATTACCTTTATGTAAAGTGCTGTAAAACATGGGAAGTTGTTCCTTCGACATTGGTCCTCCATGTCTGGCAATCAAACATAACAATCGTATAGGATTATTATTGCCAGTTGGATTTTCTGGGAACAAATCGATGGCATCGTAGCACCAAGCTGCCAAAAGTCCTATTGGAGGCACCAGGTCCGGAATAGATGGACCAGTGATTTTATCATTAGGGACACCAATATTTTCTTTCATCTGTGGAAACAGAATCAAACAAAATTCATTATGCATATGCATTTAATTAACTTCTCGTGGAGTAAGTTATAGTAATCGCAAAAAAATCGAAAATGAAGATTTTTTTATGAAAAGTTTCTGAACATTTTGGCAAACTTTGAAAAAATTGATGTATGTATGTGTATGCGGATACAAATTTTCGTCGACGATTTCGGGAAAACGGTTCAACCGATTTCAATTATTCGATTCCTAGTGATAAGGAGACGTGCTGAGTAGTTTTTGGCAAAGGCAGGACTAGCCGTTTCGAAGATACGATGGAAAAAGTGCCAAAAATGGTAATTGACAAAAGTGCCATAAACGGTAACTCAATTTTTTAGTGAACGGAGTGTCCGATTTGTATGATTCAAAAAACATTTTACTTGTATTGACAAGATAAAGAACTGATCAAATTTTTGGAAAGGCAGGTCTAGCGCTTTCAGAGATCTAGTAAAAAAAGTGAAAAAATGTCAGTCGGCGGTCAAAAATGATCATTAGACATATGCACATCAAATTATCAGATATTTTATCGAAATTTGAATAATGTGTATCAATTTTCTTTACATTTCTATTTCATTTGTCCGTTAAACGGCGACGCGGCGCTTACGCGCTTCTGTATTGCGTCTCTATGCAGCTGAAGCAGTGCGATTGCTTTGAAAAAAAATTTAAAATATCTCAAAAATCTAATTTTTTCAAAGGTTAAAATAAAATTAAATCTTTTTTAAACAATTTAATTTTGGCCAAACGAGAAGTTCCAGCAATTTGCCCTAAGGCCATTATAAGTATTATAACACTAGTTACGTTTTAAAGTCTTTTGAAAATTTTGGCTTACTTTAGAAAAAATGGATAATTTTTTTTTCTTATAATTTATTTTTGTTAATCAAGACTTTAATGTCTTATTTACAAAATTAAATTAATTAAAATAAAAACAGTAATACAAAAATAATAACATAAATGAACTATGACGTGATGATGTATACCGCGTAAAAATGTATAAATGTGTGTGTATATGTGTGAGTATGTATATGTTTGTGTATTTGTGTGTGTGCGGATACAAATTTTCGTCGACAATTTCGGTAACACGGGTCAACCGATTTGAATAATTCAAAAAACATTCGAATCATATTGATAAGAATACGTGCTAATTAGTTTTTCGCAAAGGCTGGCCCAGCCATTTCGAAGGTACAAGGCTAAATGTGCAAAAAATGTCTGAGTGAACTAAACGTCCGATTTGAATGGTCTAAAAAACTTTGTGCTCGTATTGACAAAACAATTGCTTTTGAGGATAAAAAATTATTACACCTTTTTTTATTTTCCATAAAATATTTTTGTAATTTTGGATTAAAAATTCAAAAAATTACCCAGACTAAGCACAGTCTAAGCGCCACTCTGGTACAAATGTTTAGACTTAAACAGTCTAGTAAAGGAAAAGTACTGAAGCACTTTTCCAATTTTGTGTAAACTATTGAAAAATGTGAAAATGCCGACAAGCTAAGCACAGTGTAAGTGAAAATGTTGCACAGAATTGTGTGCAAATGCGTTTAGACTCTGACTATACGGGAGCACTTTTTCAATTTTTTGAGCAACTATTAGGCAACTATTTTTTTTAAATTGAATTCGAAATGAAATGACGATTGTTAATGTTCTGGAGATAAATTGATTTACTCGTATGATTTGCATTTGATTTGCACAGATATAACAATAAGATAGCAAGAAAAATAATGAAAGTTACAGTATTTGTAATAATATATTTGAAAACGTTTAAGATTTCCCGAATATTTCATTACGGTACGGGAAGTTCCAGCAATTTGCCTTAAGGCACTATGCCATGCACCACTAGTTTAATTTAATTGCCTTACCTTTATCAAAGTTTCCATCAAATGTACCAAGTATTCAAAAAGCTGCGCATGAAGATGTGCACTCCTGATGTGATTAACATTACCCAAAGCTCCCAACATCCTGGACCAAAGAACAGCTGCCACATCAGGTAACCATCCACGAGCCTGACCACCTGATATCACTGATCTACGCTCTGGACCATCGCATTCGCTATTATCTAAAAACCAAAAACCAAAACAAAAAATCAGACTCTTTCCAATCAGGATATAAGGGGCACAACTAGTGCAACCGCCTAAAAATGGTGATTTTTTGGGAATTTATATTAAAAAAAATACTTTATCAATTATTTCA